GATAATGACGGCCATGACGACAACGACGGCAATGTTGATGATGATATTCTTGTTTGATCTAAGTGGTCGGTAGATAGGATTGCATGAAAATGTTTTGTTATTTGTCGAGTGACATCTATCTTATCAGCTCACTCTTATATCTCTGCTTGTTTTATCACTCACTCGCTTTATATTTAAATTATTATTATTATTTCTTTGCTCTTAATCTTTGCTTTCGATGAATGTGAGATGGTGTCTGATGACGTCGATGCAGCGGTCGGTGTGGTCTGACGACAACGACGATGAGGAGGAGGATGATAATAGTTACGATAACTTTTTTTCATTTAGTTAACTTACCACATATACAAACACATGGACATATACACACATACATACATGCATACATGCATGTATACCCATGCATACATGCATACATACATACATACATACATACATGCATACATACATACATACATACATACATACATACATACATACATACATACATACATACAATGTATATACATACATACATACATACATATATACATACATATATACGTACATACATACATATATGCATACATACATACATACATACATACATGCATACATATATGCATACATACATACATACATGCATATACATATTCGGACCAATACAATATCTGAATTATAAAGAGCCGTTCAAAATCAAAATTAATAATCTTGAAATTACTTAAAGTAAAACAGTAAAATATCTGGGTGTACTTCTGGATCAGAAATCGAGTCTCAAGTCCCATGTTGATTACATATCCAACAAATTGGCAAGATCAATTGGAATAATCAGCAGGGTCGGATTTTACCTCCCAAAACGTTATACTACATACACAAACATACATTCATATATACTTGAATATACTAACAAACACGTACACACACACGCATATATACATATGTATGTACATACATGTACGTTTAGATATATAAGCACACTGACTTTCATAACATACTTATCTGAACGCACAGATAGAGATAAAAAATGCAACATATTCAACTGATAAATGTTCATGTACCGTCTACGTGATTAAATACAAATACATACACATACACTTACACACATATATCATACATACACACTTGAACACACAAACACACACACACACATACACAGATACCGACCTACCATCTTATCTCATTTGAGTTCATGTACGAATGTGTGAACAGGCACTCCAACATACCAGCACAACCGCACTTAATAATATTAATAACGCGAGGATTGATATCTGAATTAATTACGAAGAAATCTGAATCATTTTATTTTTATTCTAAGGAATGTGAAAGAATTTAGAAGGAAACTTTCAATGAATATCACATGCTCCTCTTTGAATTACTGAATAATTAAAAACGTAAAATTGAAACCAAAGTCTTAATTATACAAAGAGCACCGCTAAATGATAACAAATATTAGAATAATTTAGAATTGAATCAATCGACCGTTCAGAAATAAAATCCAATCATTCTTCAAGGACTTAATGTTGACAGCCATGAATGCGAAACCGGCCATACCTCTCGCGACAACACCCTTCTACACACCCAACCTCATCCACCACCACTCATATCAAAGAATGATCGTCAACACGCAACAACAACAGCAACAACATCATCAGCAACAACAACAACAACACGTGACCAGTGACGTAATATTTCGGAACAATTACCCGGGCGGTCATCCGTTTGCTGGTCCGACTGAACACACGTCTGCTTTCTACCCGCCTAATAATGTGAGGATTGGTTTTTATTGGTTTCAATTTTATTTATTTTTTGTCCTTTTTGACATGGCTGCTTTTTTAATGCAGCCATTAATAGCCATGCCACTGCTACACTACTAATATTAAATTACTTTTACTACTACTATTGCTACTGCAGCAGCTGCTACTGCTACTACTACTACTATTTACTACTGCTGCTACTACTACTACTACTACTACTACTACTACTACTACTAATAATAATAATAATAAATGTAAACAGAGGAGTTTGAATTAATTATTCAACGAGTCTTTATAAGGCAGCCACGCCTCACGTTTAAGTCAATTTGAAATAGGTTTTGTTGTTGTTGCAGTTGGTGGTGGTTGTGTGATGTTGTTGTTTTTGTTGATGTTGTTGTTATTGTTGTTGTCGGGATGGGATGTTGTTGTTGTTATTATTGTTGTTGTTGGGACATGATGTTGTTTTTACCGTTTATGTCGAGATGTGACGCTGCGGTCTTGTTTTTAGTGGCGTGGCTGTAATGCGATTGATGTTACAGTTTTGATAATTTCATTACATTGATTGTTGTTGTCGTTTTTCTTATTCTTGCTTCTTTTTTTCGCAGTTTTTAGGTTATTATTTTGTATCGGGTCAAGTTTGTAGTTGCCACTTAGCAGGAATAAACAGGAATAAGCTTATTTTTTTAAAAACTCTTTCTTGATGATTTTCGTTATAATATGAAATATAATTGAAACATTATTGTCAACCATTATAAATCCAGTATAAAAATTTTATATTTGGAAAATTTTTCCTTGAAGAAATTGTTGCGCTTATTTTTGGCTCCTGTGTATCATTATGAATGTATGTGCTGAAGAAATACACTGCTCTTGTTATTCAAAAAATTGAATATTGAGCTCAGATTTTTTATAAGCGTTTGTTTTTTTTATGTTTTTGCACTGAGTTTCTACAGCGGTTATGTGGGTTGTTGTGTTGCTATGTTGTTGTGCTGTCTTGTTTGTTGTTGTTGTTGATTGTTTTTATGCTGTTTTATATCTTGTTTGTTGTTGGGCTGTTTTGTATGTTGTTGTTTTTTGGGCGTATGTTAACTGACACCATGCCCTTCTGTACCTGATTCTTCAGTCCTTTATTCATTAACTTTCGCAATCCATCCATCTTTCCCAACTTTTGAGATTTATTTTGCAATGCATACAAATTAATTAAGCGAGGACATATGTGGAACATTGGAATGCATGGAGAGAGAGGAACAAGCGGGCAGATGTAGGCGAACGAACGCCTGCAAACTTTTACTTTTGAATAATTTTAACTCTTCAACTAAATTAGTCATCTGTCCGTCAGTCTGTATGTCTGTCTGTCAGTCTGTCTCGTTGTCTGTCTGTCTGTTTGTTTGTCTGTCAGTCTGTTTTTTTGTATGTCTGTCTGTCTGTCTATTTGTTTTTCTAAAAGTGCGATGTTTGCCTTCGTAACTTGTCAACGCGAATGAAGTTAAATATTTGTTCAAAGGGTTCGTAATTAGTTATTAAATTTATTCATTTGGTTTCATGTATCTATTATAATAAAAGTAATTAATTATTTAAATATACAAATGAACTTTGAAAACATTTTTTGTGAGCTTCAATGCGCAGTTTTGAAAAAATATTAGATCTGTTTGTGTACTTGGTCGCAATCAAAATTTTGCACCCGAAGGTTACAACATCAGCAGCCCCACCACCACACGACATCTTCATGCGTGTATTATACGTCTTTTGTATCCACACACAACGCAAGCACTGAATTACGTACAAAATGGTGGAAGAGTCAAACGGAAAGTATTTGAATCGCTTAAGCGCACGAGTCCAGAACTTCCACTGTCTGATCCAACTCGCGAATTATCTTAGTGTTAATTACTTTAACTTAGCAACAGACAGATGTCTTCAAAATTGCTATCAGTAAATCATTCAATTGATTAATCGAATAATAATTGAGTTAAAAAACCCTAAGGTAATTATTCCCTCAATTAAATGATTAATATTAACGCAAACAGGCACTAGCCACACCCGCAACGACTCCAGACCACCCGCACCATCCAGCCATGCCCCCTCACCATTCATCTATGCCTCCTCATCAATGGAGGTCCCTACAATCCCCCTGGACATACGACTCCATCAATGTCTATTCCTATGGATCAGGGTTAGGATAGGATGTTGTTGACTGTGATGGTGCTGATTGGGATGATGTTTGTATATTCACTCATTCACACACACACACACACACACGCCACACACATCACACATACACACACGCAAACGCGCGCGCACACACGTACACACATTTATGAACATGTATATATACATACACGCGCAAATATATTCACATACGTACATGCGAAGCGACGTAGAAATTGAAATGGCGTGCGTGCACATGCATAATGCACTACAGATAGATGGATGGATGGATGGATGTTGTAGGTGGGCAGTAGGTAAGTAGACATTGGTGAATTATGTTTCTAGTGAGTGAGTGAGTAAGAGAATGAGTGAGTGATTGAGTTGGTGATTGAGCTGGTGATTGAGTGAGTGATTGAGTGATTGAGTGAGTGAGTGAGTGAGTGAGTGAATGAGTGAGTGAGTGAGTGAGTGAGTGAGTGAGTGAGTGAGTGAGTGAGTGAGTGAGTGAGTGAGTGAGTGAGTGAGTGAGTGAGTGAGTGAGTGAGTGAGTGAGCCAGTAAGAAAACAAATACGTGAGTGATTTAATCAACTAATCTTTTTGTTCTATTTAAAATGAATAAACACTTATAATAAAAATGAAATAAATTTGAAATTTATAATTATAACGGTGGAGATAAATTTGAAAATTATATAAGATGATGATGAACTGAAAGTGATAGATGATTAGATATAAGATGATGATGAACTGATGGGATAGATGATTAAGAAGGGTTGCCTGCGGTTATGACAGAATGGGTTGATGATGAGATGATGAATGAATGCGAAACGGCGGGACACCGGCTCTCTCACAACTGTCTAGATAACAACTCCTGGAAATTTATATTAATGAAGAAAAAATTTCTGAAATAATTTTCCAGCTTTCCCCAAGTTTATTAAAATTAAAAAGTCCATTTTAATAAATTTATCATAAAAAATGTTTATTTGAAAACTAGCAAAACTTACAATGTTAAATAACTAATACTCACTCACACGTTTAGATCAAATCCTTTAGACTATTAACACCAATGATGTTATTAACGATAATGGTAATAATGATAATAATAATTCTGAAATATGAAATGTGGATCCAGGTATGGCAGCTTAGACGTTCGCCGCAAAAACGCCACACGCGAGTCGACGAGCACGCTGAAAGCCTGGCTCTACGAACACATCAAGAATCCCTACCCAACCAAAGGAGAGAAAATTATGCTGGCCATCATCACTAAGATGACACTCACTCAGGTTGCGATGATGACGATGATGATGGGTATGAATGTAATGACGATGAGTATGATGATGATGACGACGATGAATATGACGATGATGAGATTTGTTATTATGACGGTGACGTGGGACAATAATCATTGTTATAACCTCAACATTTTAATCAGACTTTGACATTTCCTTAAAATCTCTTCATTGAAATAAATGGAAACAAATAATTTCAATTTTTTGCAATCATCGTACGTTTTTTATTTTACTTAAATATTTTCTGGTCAGATTTTCATAGAGACCATTTTTTTCATCACCCCCTCGTCAACCTTCTACAGGTTTCAACGTGGTTCGCCAATGCGAGGCGACGTTTGAAGAAGGAGAACAAGATGCAGTGGTCCCCGAGAAACAGAACTGGTGAAGATGACGACGACGACGACGACGATGACAAGCACAGCGATAACGATGACATCACAACGCAAAATGGCGAAGCAGATATGCGTAATAAATCGCTGGATAATGATGACGACGATGACATGATGATGATGACACGGGAAAGTGATAACACTTTTGACGATGACATCCGCTGTGCAGATGAGGAAGATGATGAAGACATTGTTGTTGACGCGGGTTGGTCTCTTTTGAAATTCTTCTCGTCAACCAATTCATTATAACCATAATAAATACCAATTTCTAAAAAATTACATTTGCTTGGTTCAAGTCAAGAAAACTACTTTTATAGCAAATGTTCAAACGACAATTTTTATTATTTTCACATTTTTAATACCATCATGGTCGATTTGGTCTTCTTTGCCTCACTGTCACCATCGTCACCATCACCTGGCCTTTTACTTAATAACGCCGATCATTTCACTTTAACTTTTCCGTTTCCGGTCTCTAATATCTTACCCCACCCACGCCTCGGCACCCAATCACACAGCGTCATAACAAGTCACGTGACAGCCGCCATATTATAAAATTTACATTTGTCTGCGCATGTTCAGGATTTGTTTTTCTTCCGCCGCACACGAGGTAGCACTTTGTTGGAGGATTAAATCCTGGAAAACTGATGTCTCTTCTGTGCACATGTCACGCCGTACGACGTGTGTGCGCACGTGTTTGCGTGCGTGCGTGCGTTTTTGCTTGTGCGTGGGGTGTGTGTGTGTACGTGCCTGTGTGTGTATGTGTGTGTGTGTGTTTGTACTTGCTTGTGTGTGTACGTACATTCGAGTATGAGCTTCTTGAATGTATGTTTAAAATTATGCAAATTATTGTTTTCACTGCGACCAAATATTATTATATAATGCGTTTAAAAATTATGCGCATTGTTTTGATTTGAAGAGTTTATACTTTCGTTTTTTAATGCCGGGTGCATTTAAGATAAATGTGTGTGAAGCTTGTGCCAGATCTCGCTAGGATTGCAGGACAAAATTATTCTGGGCATGCATGCACGTAGTCTACACACCCTCCAACTTTCGACCTTCCAAGCGCATTAAAGTGTTACATTGAATGAATAATTTGCCAGCTGGTGTAACTGCAAAGTCTTGAATGAGTGAGAGATAGAATGGTGGCAGGTAATTGCGCCCAATATTTTCAGAAAACTTTACTTGAGATTAAGATACATTAAAGAGGGTTTAGTAAAAATTATAATCTGAAAATTTTAATAAATTAATTTGAATGAAGGCATGAAATACAAAAATTTTTAATTAATTTCATTGTATCGCTGGAATAATAAAACCAAAAATTTAAGAATTCGCCGCATTTGAAATCAAACATCTTATGTAAATGCGACCCTATGTAATCATTCAATTCAATACACACAAACCTCAGGAATCGATGACTTGCCCGTTCCCGACGTTGTTCCAGTGACCAACAAAACAATTTCCAACAACAACAACTGCAACCAAAACAACAACAGCAAAGTTTCATCATCACCATCCTACCATCACAACCAATCAGAGTACAGTCGTAGGTCGAGAAGTGTTGTAGTTTCTCCGATGAATGTTGACAACGAGTTGCAACAAATTCAACAACACCACAAACAACATTTCAACATATTGCAGCATCAACAATCACTCCATCATCACCTGTCTCAGCGATCGTCTCAACACGATCCCGGCAACACAAGCAACACCAACAATAACAGAAATAACAACGACGACAGCAACAATCACAAAACGAATCGTGAAAATTCGCCAAAGTTCACTCAAATCTGTCACAACTTCCACCCCCACTTCAATCGTCCTTCACCTTTCCACATGAACAACATCCACCACCATCCTTCATTCCACCCTTCCATTACTTTTCCTCAATATCCTCAACCGTCGTTCTCTCATCACCACCATTCTTCTCCTTCTTTCTATCCGATGTTTCTGACCAACAAACGAAAATTTGGTGACAAAATGGAAGATGAAGGTCACACGCTCAACAAAAATCCTAACAACATTAACAACAACGATCACAATAAGAACAACAACAACAACAACAGTAACAACGTCGACCATTCTAATAGCAATGCTACAAATAATAAAAGTAAGGATGGCAGTTATACAGATGATGCCGTAAGAAGCAAAGAAACAGAAGTCGATGATGATGATGATGAAAATTCAAAGGTTGACATAAAAATGGATTCAGATCCAAGCAGTGAAACTACGTCAATAACAACAACAACAACAACAGCAACAAAAGCAGCAGCAACAACAACATCTAATTTTCCTCCATCAATTTCCAGGCCAGTGAAACAGGACAACATCACGTCGGAATGCAAAAAACCAAAACCGAAAATTTGGTCAATTGCCGACGTAGCCACTTCAGATGACAACAAACAACGCAACAACAACAAAAACACTGAAAATGTTGATGATGGTGATAAAGAAGCGCCAGATGGTGACCTGAACAGCCCAGTGCAGCAACCCCATCAGCACTTGAACGCACCTTACAACATGCACCTCTACTCAACGCTGAGTCAACTCTATCACCCTTACTTCTCCCAACAACACAGACAACGCATGCAAGTTAGATTTCAACAACAACTACTACCAAACAACTATCACCAACAGTTTCAGCAACAGCAACAATCAAACAAGCATGATGTAGACCAACACACAGATAACGTTACCAGCGATGTCAACATTCATCCAAAATTTGCCGACGAGAGAAACACTCACAAAAATAATCTAAAAAGTTCAAACAACAACAACAAACATAACCACGACTTTGATGAAAATAAATGCAAACCCATCCAACAAAATCCATTTCAGCCGTGGTTGAATTCAACGAACATTCGCCAGCAAGAAAGCCCGCATCTACTGAGGCACCAACATCAACAACATCTTCTTGCACATCAACGTCATGCAAACCAACAACATCAACATCACAAACAACTGCAACTTCAACAGCATCAGCAGAAACACACGCAGCAACAAATTCAACAACAAAACGTACCTCGTAACCAAAAAATGACACCTCTATCACCAGCAACTTCAGTGGTACCAAGTACAGATGTTCAAACATCTTCATCTTTGCTCTTATCATATTCTCCATCTTTTCCTCTTTTGTCATCAAATTCAGTAACCACATCTCACTTTCCTAAAAAACATTTCAAACACAAAAGTGATTCTCCGCTGTCAACTACCTCTTCTACAAAATCATCACAGTTTCCATCAGTGACATCATCAACATCATCTTCTTCATCGTCGTTATCAATGCAGCTATCTTTACAAGCAGAATCTAATACATTTTCAACTGAAAACTATTCGATGCCCCCCTCGTCATCTTCATCCTCACCATCACCGTCGGCATCATCTTCATTATTAAACTCTTCTTACTTATCTGTTACATTGAAATCTTCATCGCCAAAAAATGCGACAACATTTTTACCTGCAACAACATTATCGTTATCATCTTTACCATTACCATCATCGTCATCATCAACAACTATAATGACTTCATCATCCTTACTATCGTCAGAAAAAAAGATCTCATTTTTAGCGTCATCAACGACATTATCATCACGTGATATATATACTTCCTCTTCCTCTTCATCATCATCAGCAGCAGCAGCACTGACATCAACATCATCATCATTCTCATCCGCGTCTTCCCCATTATCATCGTTATCAACGTCGCTATCATCACCATCATCATCACCATCATCACATGATCCTCTGTCCTTTAGTAATGCCGTCATATCCGTTAAACAATCTTCCAGCGCCATCTCGTGCCGGAAGTCACGTGATTCAACTTTTGAATACCGGCCTGCTAACGTTGTTAATGAAGTTGAGGTCGACAGAGGAGGGAGGGAGGCGAACATCGATACGAACGACACCAACAAAAACATCAGCCACGCTGATAGCAAGAATAATCAGGACAACACATTTCAGAGCAACATCGACAACAACAACACTCACAACAACAACAACACTCACAACAACAACAACAACACTCACAACAACAACATCAACAACAACAACAACAACACTCGCAACAACGACGACGACGGTGATAATAATATTAATAACACCATTAGAAACAAAAACATTGGCTTCAATCCAAAAGTTGAAAATGACGACTTAAAAAATAACGCTGACATTAAGAACGACAGCAACTGTGGTTACATTAATGAAACAACTAATGTAAACAACAACAACAATGACAACAATTTTATTCACAGCGTAAACAGTCGCAAAAGCCATAGCAATCACAAAACATGCAACAAAATTTACAACAACACACACGTTAAGAACAACATCAACAACAACGTTAACAACAACAACAAAAGCAACAACAACAACGTCAATCGTCGCAGTATTAATTCAACTTCGCCGCAAACAAATTCCTTCTCAATGAAAAATATCAGCAAAAAGTGTAACACAGATGAACAAATAGTACCACCACCACATCAGCAGCAGCAGCAACAACAACCACAACATAGCCACCACTACCATCAGCAGCAACTTCAACAGCAACAACAATGACGATCAAATCAAAATGAAAATTTTTTTGTAAAATTTTCGAGACCTTGTTCATGTTTATAGATCTTAGGTGATTTTTTACTTTTACATTATTCCCCATAATCACAATTTTAAAAACTAAAATAATATAAGAAAATATTTCAACGAATTTAAATCAATGCGTAAAAAATTTGTGCTGCATACACATAAATATATTGGTCGTGCCACCATATATCAATAATAATTGAATAATGAATTATGATGATTTGATTTTTCAAAATGCGTTGTTTAAAATGCAAGCTAGTTGAGTCTGACGTTATGTCGTTGTCATTGTCTGACTTTAATAAGCCAATGTTAATATGTTTAAGTTTGAACTGAAACTTCTATTTAGAATTTTTTTGTCAGTTTTGTAAGGTTTTAATGAAAATTCTTTAAGAAATTGTGTGCCATTAAATATTAATTTTTCAAAACATCTTCCATGCAGA